TGTCATTGTGCAATAGTCATCAATATGGAAAAAAAAGGCTTTAAATATTTCACTTTGTGTGTGGTGAATTACAATGATATACAACTTTCAGTTATTGAATTTTTTTTTGTCGTCAATGGACTTTCCCTGAATATGGTAAAAAAAATTTGAGCACCCTGTATTCTAAATATAAGTTGATTTATTTTTGTTTGACACTGTATCCTGGGTGCTTATATTCACATTTCTGTTCAAAGACGTTTAGTTTTAGTCTGGTCAAAAATAATTTTCCTGTTAGGGACGATTTTTAACTATCCACGACAAAGAAAGCCTCGTGCTCATGTCAGTAACGTGAAAACTGCGGTACAACGTCACCAAAATTCACATGCACATTTCTACTCATGCCTACGTCAACCTCTGCGTTTTCCATTGAGCTATAGTGAGCAACTGTGGAAAGGTTGACACTTAAGAAATATTGCTGAGATCATTTTGATATTTTCAGAGAATTAGTTGGTGTAGGTTGGGATTGAGCTTTCTGACATCGAGTGACATTAAGGTCTTTCTATGGAGAGGAAAACAGTTAACGCCCCAACAATCCAAAATGTGTGTGCAGTTGTTTTGATATGTTCAGACGTTGATGTGGTTAGAGGTAGAGATTGACCGTTTTCTTGCGAGTGACGGAAACTATATCAGCAGGAAAACAGTTAACGTCTCAAAAATGAAAAATACTTGGGCGGCTGTTTTGATATTTTCAGATATTGGTGTGGGTATAGGTGGGTGTGCACGTGTATTTTGGTTACGATTTTTCTCTATCGTGGACGTCAGCTGGGACAAAAATGCTTAACCCCTCGAACATCCACAAAATACGATGGCGATTGTTTGTATATTTTAAGAGTTGAAGTGACCAGCGGTAGGGATGAGCTTGTGAATTTTGACAACGTTTGGTGGGAGTTTTCTGACATTAAGCGTTGAGGTGCGTTCCCAAAATAAAATGGGAAGCAACCAAAGACGACGGACAACTTCAATACGACGTGTTTACCTCACGACCAGCTGGCCAACGTAGCCCCGCTGGGTTAGCATCGCGCTGTAATTCTGTTGTTAAAATCGCCAATATGACCCCACTCACCCGTAAAGAACCGTTATAAAGGCAACTCTGCCGATGACGTCGAAAGTAGGTGAGAGGCACTACCCAAACTGGTGCCAAGCAGCTAAAGCTAAACCAAGGCTCCGTCTATTCCGCAGCAGGGCTAGTGAAGTGGAATGTCGCTTCCTGTAGACGTGGCTTCCACGTTCCGGTGTCCAGTGTGGGGCGGCTCTCCGTTCGATAACGAAAGTGACGACAAAACGGTCTGGAAAGTTCTAATTCACTCGCCGGTTTGAGAAATACGTCACGCTATCTGGCACGATGGTGCTCCCTGTCAAGTTATGACGAGAATAAAGGAAGTGACGACAGAAAAGGCCGACTTTCAGAATAAAGCAGTGTTGTCAAACTTTAATTGAGCAGAGCCCGATGTACGTATTTTTACAGTGGAAAAATCTCATGGCACCGCCCCGAACAAAAATGGCTCAAAATCTATGTAGGACATTCCAGAATTGGAGGCCCTATGAAAATTAAAATATAAAATAGTCACAATGCCGCTTTCTTTGAAGACCAGCGAACATCATACAGTATATAATTTCTAAAGTGGCTGTTTTTGTTAATTGATGAAATATAAACCCCACTAAAGGCATAAGGCCATTATGTGCCTGTATCAGGTATGGCCTCCATACCTGATACAGGCACAGTTTCTCAGAGATGCTGCAGAGGAATTGGTCTTCACTCCCTTTGTCACCATGATAGCTTTATAATCAAATTGAGTAGAGACCAGTTTCATGTGACGTATGCATACATTTTAAGTCTGGCTGCGCGCGTATTTCGGAGGCAGAAAACAGGCTGAACAGAACAAAATAGTGCGAGTAATGGCGTCCTCATGCTGTGCCGTGGGTTCTCAGAATAGAAAGAGCACACACAGAGATCTAGTCTTTTGTAGAATTCCTGCTGGTAAACACCCCTTCAGACGCGAGAATTGGACTGAGGAGGCAATGCTCGTTTATGCAGTGCTCACTTCATATCTGGTAAGTACTTGGGAATTAGATCTACCATGTCAAATTATATTCTATGTTGTGAAAGCCCAGAATAATGTTCAATTAGTGAAAGTAACAAATGGGTGAAAATAATGAAGTATAGCTTGAGTGAAGCAGTTGATATGTAGTCTACAGTCAAACGTCTTTACAATTTGTGTGGGAAGTAACTCTTCAATGCTTCATGCACATGTTAAACACAAACATATACAGCCATACTAACACCAAATGATAAAAACATGCTTCACAACACATACAGGTGTGGGTGTGTGGGTGTGTGGGTGTGTGCGCGCGCATATATCTTTCTCACTGCATATTTATCATTTAAATCCTTAAATGTAATTTTTAAATTTTACAGGAAAAGCATCCGTGGAACATGGTAGTCCAGATTCCGTTCTATCTGTATTTTCATATAAAGCAGCTGTTTCACCAAGTTGACACTCAAAACTTGCAAGGTAAAACTGTAAAACCCAGCAGAATTATAGTTTGTCTTGAAAATGAATTTATTACAAGAAAAATACAGTACTGTATAGACTGATGTATGAACACCAAAATAAAAAAAATGTATAGATGCATGCGTTTATAAACACACACAAGAATATATGTAAATATAAATTTTGTTCCACAGCTATCAACACCGACCATGAAGATACTATGACAGAAAGTTTAGTGAGCCTTCATTTACAAGTAACTTGTAAGTCGTCTGAAAAATACTGTAATGTCCACTCATTTGGTAATAACAAAACAAAACAAAGAAGCCCACAGTTAAAAATTTAATATACCGGGATATGTATGTGATATGATTTATTTTACAGACTATCAACCTGTACCCGTTGATTGTGCAGCTCCCTCCATCACAACAGAGCAATGTCTGGTCAACTTTCGATGAAAGTTCTTCAGGTGTGAGATCACATGCTGACTCTTCATCCAAAGTTGTAACTGGCTCAGGAAGACAGTCCTCGCACTCTGAAGCAGTGTTTCTGTCTGTGGAGTCCTCATGTGAATAAGTGCTTGTGACAACTGCAGCTTTTTATGTACGGTAATTGATCTCAGCAAGTTTGTGTTCGTCGGTTATCTCTAAATATGAAATCAAATATATAATTATAAATAAAAGCATTTGAAACATGCTACATTTAACATGGTGAGTGCAAGTGCCTGTTTCATATGTGTGTATCATTATTCACATTTGGTTGAATTAGGATATTGTTATTGCAATCTATTTTCAGCAAATTATCTCGACATCTTTGCTTCATTATGTGACTCACCCCGAGTTACCACAATGCTGTCTTTGGATATCCTGCTTAATGACGTTGCACATGATGTTTTGCAAGTCCTCTTAACTTTCTTCAAGTTGATATCAGGTCCGGGGCATGCCCCCCCCGGGAGAAAATTTTTCTACATTCTATTAAAAATCCATCAATTCTGTGCACTTTGAGAGCAAAATGAAGAGGCTATGAAGAACTACACACATCACATTCGTATCCTCTTTACTATGATGGGGCTTCCTCCCCTGGACTTTAACTGGACTAGATAATAGAAATGATAAAAAGTTCAAAAGTTCAATCTTGGTTGTTCAAGGGAATTAGAAGGATGCCCGGTAACATAATCTATATGACAGTAGGCCGAAATTCCTCTCTACCAAAATGTATTAATATATGCTTAGCCCCCAGAAGACTATATATTTTGAGATGTCTGCCGTGATTTTGGTGTTATATAAATAAAGTATCATTATTGTGTCAACACAGTACAGTTGAATGTAGTGGGCAATAAAATAATTAACTTACAGCTATCTGGAATAAATAAATTGCCTTTCATTGAAACTGGTCCATAAGGACAGGTACAGTTCTGTGGGAGTTCATGAAAGTGAGTGATTCCTTTATTTAAAAAAAAAAAAATTAAAAGAGGTTTAAACAACTACAGACCAGTCTCAGTTTTAAGTACTACGTCTTTAACAACAGAAAGGATGCACAGGAACGGATATATCAACGAACAATCTTTTGTTTAAAATTTAATCTGGTTAAAAATAGTAAAAATACGTCCCTTGACTCCAAAACAATACATAAATATCCATCTCTATTTAAATGATCTCATTTTTGGCTGTATGATTATAGTTCTATTTCCCCTAGCGAACTACTTCTGACATCCCCTCAGCTTCATTTGAACACAAATATGCTCAAATGTGAGTTTACAGCGACTTTTGCATGTAACACCATTTCTATGGCCCCAAACATATTTTGGGGCAAGGAAAGAGTTATTTGTTTGGAAGCTGGCTTCGCCGCGGCTCATTCGGGACCGTATGAATTGATCGCTCCACTTTGCCACATAGAATATGGCGATGCTGTCGACGGAGTATGTTACGCTCTGGCGGCGTTCATGTATACGTCTATTGTGACATAACTACTTCACGATGCTGCCGCTGGGTGGCGCAATGCTAAAATGTATAACATTGCATGATTAAATCTGAATCGAGAGTAAATATTTTGACAGGTTACGCAAAATATTACAGTTTTCTTTGACGCATATTTGAACTGATTGCAGGTTGCTTTACTATTTGTTGTATATGTTAATTTGCTCCAGGTACAGCACTTTGTATGCAGCGATGGCTGTTTGAAAGTGCTCTATAAATACAGTTGAGTTGAGTTGAGTTGAGTTGAACTGATTGCAGTAATTACCAGATGCCAGGTTTTCTTTTTTAATGGCCAAATTGCCATTTACCATTTAACACCTCCCTAAATCGCTCCAGTAGATTTATTCAAGATAAGATTATATGAATCCGCTCAAGGCAACTTGGATCCAACTGTAGGGTTTTGGAGATCCACACGTTTGAACACACTTCTCATGCATAAACAAGTTGTTGCCTAAGAATCTCTTGTGCTTCAGGTGAGATAGAACAGACCTGGGCCGGCTTATGGGTTTGCCAAGAGTGGAAAAGGAGAGGGGTGGGAGGATAGCTCATGATAAAAACTCCACCATGCTTACTCCTGAATGCTCAGAAAGTGAACACGGGAGAACATGGATATGCAGAGACCAACAACAAAATCTCTTCCTGCCGTCTGATGTCAAACAGATGTGAGTTTGCTGGGGGGGAGGCAACCTTCAGTGAACCACCACGGCACCTGAGTGTCATGTGGTCGAAAGATCGCAGTTCGACCCTGTGATAGGATTAAGGAATATTCGAGAGGAACCACCAGGAAGAGATTCAAAAGACTGGACCTCACACTATTGTGTCCAATTGTCTGACGAGTGGACACACTGAACAACAACATCTTTTTCACTACTCCCACGACTTTGGCTGACCTTCGACTTTTAGTCATTACCGCATCACTTTGCCGGATCCACTGCACGGTGAGAGTGAGAAGAAGCAGCCGCTGCAAACCCTCAAGTTTTTGACACCCCTCCTCTCTGCTGCTGCTGCTTCTTCTGGTATACCCCCTTTGCCCCCCTACCTCCCATCTTTCAGCTCACCCCCCAACAGAGCAGAAAGCGTGAAAAATCTCACTAATGGGTTTATTTGCTGTCAGATCTGAGCCCATGTGTCATTCCCTCTGAGCATTCTGCTTGAAACATTTCATAGTTGAGTAAGCCTGCACCAAGTGGCCGAAGTGGGTTGAGGGGTGTGGGGACTCAACCACAGTAGTCAGTGTGACTGTCTCTTGGAGTTGCTGCATTCTTTTTGGCACTTTATCATCATTCAGGACGTCGGGAGCTGGTGTGCATCCTTGAATAGGCGCTTCTGCAAGAATATTCCGTCTCCATCAGGATCCTGGTGCAGTTTTGTGGAGATGTGGTATAGGACTGCTCCCCTGGTTGTGGCGATTTGCATTTGTTGGATTTACTGCATCTTGGATGGAGTGGAAGCTAAAAAGGAGAGGAAGAAGTTGAAAGAGACACCACTGCAGCACACAGAGACCTACAACGTGACTCTTTCCAACAGCGAAGAAGAGTCTGGAATTCCCAAGGTAGTGATTGAAACACTTAAAAACAAAGTATAATTGTACCATACTACTGTTGCTTTTTAATAACAAATAGTCGTAAGTGACATGAACAGGTTTATCACCATTTTGCAGCCGTAGAGCGGAAAAGTTGAACGGTTGCAGGGGACAGGTGTGACCTCTTAGGTCAAACCTCAGCAGGCCGCATCGAAATGTGTGAAATTCTTAATGGATGACTTCCACGGGTATGCCAGGAATGTGCATCGCTAAAGGGCCGATCAGAGCATCAATTAGTGTGAAGTCTAGTGTGAATATCCTCAAACTACTGTGGAGACAAAAAAGGCATTGTAATGTCAAGACAGGACATTTTTTTCTGTAACAACTTGTTACAAGCCCTAAAACAAAGATGATGAGGGTTTTTGTTTTTGGTTTTTTGGGGGGGTGAAGAATGACCATGATATTTTATGATCACTTGGCGGTCACATTTTGTCTTTCAACTTCAGCCGATGTCATCTCCCTCATACAGAGAGAGTGGAGCTACATCATAAGGGAGATTGAGTTGTGTCAGAAAGGGAGACTGAAAGTCCTCTGTGTGGTTTCACAGATCAGTGGTTGTTATCGCGCAGCGTTTCAATGTTTACCTAACGTGTATTCGGCAAAATGCAGACACACTTTGCAGTGGAATAGGAGATTTCTTCCCATTGTGTCGAAAAACATTTTGCTCAAATCTTGCCAGCCCAGTGGTGCCTGCTAGCTGCTGTTGATTGTCACTCTAACACATGTGCAACACTGGTGGCCGTGCACAGGGATGACCCCAAAACGTTCCACTGATGCCCTGAAAAGTATCATACCAGTGTTCCACCAGCTGCTTGGTAATACAAAGCCTGATGAAATGACTCCTGTCCTGGAAGGCCCAAACATGTATTTGCTTCAGCGCTTAGCATCTCAGTGCGACTGTGCGACTACGCCAACGGGTTGGACTCATGCTATCAGAGGAGATTTCCCAAACGGTAAATCATACTTTGGCTTTGGCCATTGACGTAGATGCTTAGTCGCTGTTGCCACTCACATTCATCACACTTTTACCAATGTAAAAGTGCTTTATTAGATGGTATGTCTTGCTTGTCGTGCACTGTGGATTTGTCTGGCTTGGAGTTGACAACTCAGTGTCGAGGACAGTGCTGGCATCAGCTGTCAGTCCACGAGCCTCATAACCATGCCCACTCGATAGAGATTTTTGAGGAGCTACCAAGTCAAATGTCATCCTTTAGTCCAAATCAAATATCATCATGCATGAGACAACTGAGGCAGTAACTGAAATCCTCCACATTTGGTCTAAATCCAAGGACGCCAAACCTGCAGGTCATCAACCAAAGTCCGCGCCAGATATTAATGGCGCATCATTTGACATTGTCACAGCTATTGTCGACGACCTTCACCATGCCTTAGATATGGATAGTAACATCAGCAGTGTAGATCTTCAAACATGTTTGCGTCAAGTATACAGCCAATCCACAGCCAAGTCTTTCACTGCAAAAACTGCTTTGTCAGGGTTTTTGAAAATCCAATTTGAGACGCTGATAGATGATATAGTTGGTCACAGTCTGTGGAAAGACTCAAGAGGTCTCGGTGTGTCTTCAGGGCAGCTCTGATCGTGGGGTGTCCTTGCCAGGCTCCATCCCTGAGCCTTTAGGTTGTCCTCCTGAATTGAGTTTTGACAGAATCCAGAATGAGGTTGAAGACTTGTATAATAATTTTGTGATGGCAGGAACAAAAGTCACCAAAAGCCATTAAAGCCCGAGTGATGAGATCACAATGTTTTCTAAAAAGCTGAAGGATAAAATCTATGACCGTTAACAAAATTCAGGGGACTTGTGCCTGTGAGTCCACAGGCAACCAAATACACAGGCAGAAGTACAAAATATTGCACACAGATGTTTTGTTTAACAGATTCTTTCGGGAAGTTCTTGCAGCAGATGCTCCTCTGGATGGAGATGAAGCCAAGCAAGTGGAAGGCCACTGCTGATTAAGTATGTGGTACAGTGAATGAAACCGACATGCTCGTTACAACTATTGGAAGCCCACAGCAAGAACTTAAAACCATCAATTCACAGGACGAGGAGTGTGAATCAATTTCTGGAGACAGTCCCACAGCGTGACGTCGCACCAAACTGTAAATGGAAAGCCCGGTGAGCAAGCTGATCATTATGCTGGTCAAAGGCGCCCTAAAAAAGTCAGAAAGTCGCCGCAGCCAGACTCAGATAAGGTGCTGTCAACCTGGAGTCTGAGGCTCCTATGGACACCGTCACCTACAGTAAATTCATTGAAACTGTCTGGCCTTAGGAGTTGGTTTCTTGCTGGTGATGAATATTTGTGTGGGTTTTCCATCAGGCTAGGTTATTTGCTTTCAGCCCACCCATTATGTTGGCATACAAAGCTCATGTCCTATATACCTGCTTTCTTTCCCTTCTGCCCCTACCTTTGGAATCTTACTCTCGTGGAAACAAGCAGTGACTCTCCTTTGTATCTCTAAAACATCATGTAGGTGGTTGTGGTCCGCTGCTGTGTATTTGGCTTGGGCCACCCTGTAAAAGCAGAACCAATGAAGAATGACCTTGTGTCAACTCTTAAGTCTGACAAGATTATAACCCGCTCGGATTCCACTTCTCTGGCCCATCCAACAAGGTGCGGGGGTGTCTCGTTTTTTTAAAAAAATGTTCCTCAAATGCCTTCCCAACATCCACCTACCTCAACAGAGGTCCAACATTGTAGGCCCTCTGCCATGATATAATTCCTGTGAATGTTAGGGTGGGTGGATATTTTGAGAACCGGGGCAGTGTTCTTCCCGGTCAATTGATTCTGTCATTCTAAGACACGGTCTGACTCCGCTGTGTCTGGGACATCCAATCGGGGGGCGGTGTGGCCCTGGAAAGTGGGCCAACCTGCTGTGTAAGGTCGGCACAAAACCCGTTCGAATGGATCCTGAAAGAGAACACCTTGGTTAGGATTAGCCCCCCTTCAAATCCTCCTGTGTCCCTCCCCACTAATTTTGTTTTCATCTCCCACAACCAGAGCAGAATTTACATAATCTCAAGATTTTTTTTTCTTCTTTTTTACACAATTCCATTTTTAACATCTCAAAGTGGAAGGTTTGAACACAATGAAACACTCAAAACTGGAGCCGTCATGAGTCTACCCTGAGACAAGTATTTCACTACCACAACAATGGCAGACCACCACATTTACTAATGTGTCAAAGAGATTGGAAATTTACATATGTCACATTTCCAACCCACTCGTACAGTGATGAAATCTATTCAAAATACCCGGGAGGACAAGCCGTTTGTCCATGTGCATGTGTGTAGCCTTTTATTCCAAAGTGACATTGTGTTTTTACTCGCTTTTGCAACTTTTGAACAAACATAGTTGTGACACCCTGTCATCTGTCTCTGAAATCTTTCAAAACACTTTGCAGTTTTTACAAGATGGTTGTCACGTAAACTGTCTCTGAAAAAGATGCAGTTGAATGCCAGAAAATTGTTTTTGCCAAATGTCACTTCTGATGAGAACCTGAACTTCCAGCTTCAAGTAAACTACAAAACGTTAGCTCGTTGTCACTGCTCGAGACACACTTTTCTGCTTTCTGAGGCAAAAGTGTGCCCTGAGACAACTCTTATTTACTTAAGAAACTGCTTATTTAAGTAAGTTTATCACTCGACACATGGCAAGGAAAACAGCATGTCTGCTCGAGGTGTCCTGGCATGAAATGTATGTTGTCAATCCAGCCAAACATTCACACCCCACATTTACC